CCCCCCCCCCCCCCCCCCGCCGAGGCGGTGGTTAGCTCTCCCACCCCGGTACCCGTGCCTATCTCGCCAAAATAAACCGTGGAGCACGAACTTCTGCAAGCGAATTTTAATTAAGCATCAAAATCAGACGGCATTCTAATAACAAACCGGAAATCATGATTGCAAAAAATAGATTGTAATACACTAAAAAAACATAGTGATAGCAACTATAAAGGTGACTATCAAATTTTATATTATATATAGAATTCATGTACATAATATGTATATATAATAAATTATTTTATCATTATAGCAACTATAAAATAGTTTATTCAACTATATATATGTATATATATGTGTGTGTGTATTAATTCTACATATAAAACTTGTATAGTCACCTTTATACTTGCTATCACTATATTTTTCTCTGAGTAGGTGTAGTATAATCGATTAAATAAATCAATGAAATGAAGTCGCTGCATTAAATCATGTAATACATGAACATTAGTACGTAACACGTTGTGAAGTTTCTCCGCTGTTTCAAAAAGTCATATGTGAAGAAAATTCTTTATATATAAATAAATATAAAAGTGTTTAAAAATTATGCAGAATATATGCGCGATTATTGTCAACGAAATTATTCAGGGAGAAACATTAATTACTTCTGCATCACTATTAAACGTATCTAATCGTTATTTTCGCAATAATAAGTCATTTAATTATCAAGATTTATATATTTTCAAGACCCGAGGGAATAGGGAAAGTTGTGGTCGCATGAAAGTGCATAACATTTTTGTATGTAAGTACGCTAATCATATGCGGGGCGTGTAATAATGTATAGTTACACCAACGTCACATCCGGGAGTATTGAACTATCGTCATCGACCTTACGATCTATAAGTTCTTACGAGCGATATCGATCCAATCTCTCGATTTGTCTTACCTGTTTGAACGCATATAAAGTTTTTTGCTAATCAATTAAATCTCGATCGTGTTATCGGCGTTGTCAATCGCATTTACGCATATAAGGATATAACAATTCCAATGTATAATTACGCAGTTAATCGCATAATGTTTTGAACAAACAAGCATAATTTAAATTATTTTCAAGAATTAATCTTCTAGAAAGAGTTCTTCATTTTTATAACATTTTTATAACAAAAATATGAAACAAAAAGGTATTTTAATATTTTATTTTTAAAACTCTTCTAGTATTCTTTAGAATCTTTATCCTGAAATATAATTAGTAAATAAAAAAAACGAGTTGAGATTGGGTTAACAAAATTGTTAAAGATGGTCGTATATTTGTTTTTTGTTTGCAAAACGGAGGACCAAGGTCTGCCGATTATCTCGTCATCGACAATGGCAAATAGTTCCGTGTAGTATGATGTAATGCAACCGATTAGTGTAATTCTATTTATTCGTAGATAGATACAACGACGCCGACGGCGACGTCATGTCGCGAACGATGCGACAGGTGGGAGCTCGCATGTAACTGACATACCTAATGCTCAAGTAACTGCAACCACGAATCTAAGTTAATTCTCCCGACGTGCTTCAGCTCAATTTCTAAAGCCTAAAACGTAAAGTGCAGCCGCGCGACTTATTTACGAGACAATAATTTTAAGTCTGTTTTTTATAGTCAAACTACTCTCTGAAACTTTTAGAGCGAACTGTCACTCTGAAGAGTGAAGTCTCAAAGATTGAGCTACTCTTTTTCAAGACTAGTTCAATTTTCACACTTCAAAGCAAGAATCCACTCTAAAGAATTTAGAGAATAACATATACTGTTTATACTTAAAGTGAAAGAGATCCATAGATGATTTTGTTGAAGTATTTAAAAATTTAAAATAGATATGGATTTAAAAATAATTTTATTGAACAAAATAATTACGTAGGAATTTCAGGCATGAGCAATACTGCAAAAAGCTTTGCTGACATTCTAGCAAAGTTTGAGCGTCCTAATTATTTTGATGGTCCAACAAAATTACTTTCAGATCTAATTAAATTGGTAAATATTTCAATAAAACTGTCCTTTCCGTGTATATGTTTAGCGAAAGAGAGAAAGAAAATTCTAGCGCAGTCAAGTGCAGCAAAACAGATGTTTTTTTTATTTCATCTCGATCTACTTTTCATTGGATGAATTTTTGAGACAAATCAGATTATAACCGTGATATACCTAATTATTAGTTAGCTAGGATTATCGAGATAAATCATGAGTTACACATGACGCTCGGATCTGTTAAAAAATTAATTTTAAAGGCGTGGACACGAAAGAGAGAGCGAGAGTGCGTTTGACCGAGTAGTCAACCTAACGCATGGAAATCACATTCGTTACGGTACTGCGAGACAATGATAAAGAGATGCATTACGCAATGCATCTCGCGACTCGTATAAAATATTGAGCGAGGTACGGGAACGGAAAATGGTGAAAAAAGGGAGATAGAATAGAAAGCGCGAACCTTTCTATTGATCTCCGTTAGTTGTACTACGATCATCGAAATATCGAAATGAAAATCGGAAGCAACTTGAAGAGAAAAGGGAAAATTATCAATTAATTATTTATTATAGTCCCTTTCTATTAATATAGATTAATCTCGGTTTAATTTATTTTTTATGTTCTTCTAGTTCTAAGAATTAGAAAAAGATAAAAATAAATTAAATCGCAAGGAAAGAATAGTTTTCCTGAAGTATCTAAAAATTTAGCCAAATAGATCTAAAAATAATTTTGTTAGATCGTCAAAATAATTATGTAAGACACTCAAGATGGTTGTTAGATTGTCAAAATTTGCAGCATTGCTCATCATGTTTCTAACATAATTATTTTTATAGTCCAACAAAATTACTTTCACATCTGTATTTGACTAAATTTTTAAGTACTCCAGCAAAACTGTTCTTTTCGTATGAAATTAAAGTTAATCTACATTGGTATATAGAAATGAACATCTCGTGTAAACGACATCGGTACGTTTTACTCGCATTGTCATTAATGGATTATTATGGACGTACGCTATTTAGATCCGTCAGAGCGTTAATGCTGAACTAGCGATGACTGACACTGTCCTTCGCTTCACCTTTTGTTTTACGCACACGTTTGTAGATTTTTACGTAAAAAACAAATTTCATCGCGAATTCGATTACGCGACATGCCATTTAATCTATTAGGATAATTACGTGAATGTGAACCGTGTTTTTCTCTTTTTACTAATTAATTTGCTCAAGTAACGGGTCTAGATATCATTCAGATACTAGGTAAACGGATAACCAGTTTCCGAGTAATTTCAAGTATTACTGACTCGATAACTCGGTATTGACAACACCGGTCATAATTCCAAAGCCGATTCCAGCGGATTATGTCGAGAGCTTATCGATTGTTGTTGCACACAATGCGATATAAATAACGTTGTATCGCATAAAACAACATAGAGGAGTAGTTCCGTTTTAAGATTAAATAATAATATAATTCAATCATCGGAACGTTTATTTAATCCAACATCGCAGAAGCAACATCGCATGAAGCAACGTTTTTCAACTAATAAGTCATCCTCATCCGTAAATATAATATTAATCACTGCATAAAAAATAAGTAATAAGAAAAGTAATCAATGAAATAATAAATTAAATCGTAGAAACGAAAGCCTACGGACATCACTTCTTTTCGTCTGCAGAAAAGTGTCATTCTTTTTTATCATATTTAATTTCATTAATCATATTTGTTATACTAATGTATTTTTTTGTTGTTCTTATTTATTTATTTCTATACAGGGTGTTTCCAAATTAAATGGCAAAACTTCGGGAGCGTGTAGAGGAGTAAAAAACTAAGAAAAAAAGTCCTATAGACATATGCTCGT